AATTTATAAAGTGTTGCTTCAAACAAACGGAGCGTACTATGCGACATATCTTGCGAAATTAAAATTACTTCTACTCCACCATGGAATACTCCTGGTTCACACTGGAGGATGTGCGAGAATAATTCATCGTGTGTCGCTTTTCTATTTTCATTATGACTATTTTTTACACTTTCTAGTGCCGTTGTCGTTGCCGTTGTCGCTTCTGCTTTGCTGTTGTTTCCTGTTGTTACACTTACAGTTACAGTTACAGTTACAGTTACAGTTATTGCTGTTAAGTTATTATTTCATAAAATCCAGAATTATTGAAATACTTTTTTTTCCACTCCAGTTTGAAGCCATCTTGCAATGAGTTGATTTCAGTGCATAGATCTGCACATAAATGTGTACTCATATATGCAAATGAAGCCTAATATATATCATCTTAGAATGTTTTGGAATATTTCAAATCTAGATTTTAATTTTTTTATGATGTTCAATGATATGTAATTTGAATGTTTTTTAGATCTGTTTTTTTATTAAACATATCGCACGAATGCAGCATTTTAAATCTAAAATATTAGTTCTTTTAATGGAACTTTTTGAAAATTAGTACTGACTGATCCTCACTGATGCATTGTAAACATTTTTTGAAATACACATATAAAAATATATGTAAAGCCATTTCATCGAAAGTGATTCCCTTGCATGACTTCAATACTCTTCATTCCATAGCAGGTATCTCTATAGAAGAGTGTTTCTCAACAGGAAACCAATTTGAAGTCACATGTAAATTAATATTACAAGATGACTCTCACCGTCTTTCCGGAAATCGTATATAGAAATATACGAGGAAAAGAAAAAGAATAATCATGCAAGAAGTGGGTAAAGGATGTAGTTCACCTTTTGTCGTTTAAAACAAGATCAGTTTAAACTTGGTTCCCAAACGTTTCTTATATATGTAAGTAGTGGGGGGTGTACCACACCCCTCCTAGTTTTAGGTGCCTTTGTGGTGTACCATAAAAATAGTTGAGAAACACTTCAGATTAAAATAAAGCCATAATTTACAATTTAATTTAATTCCAAACAGTTAGATTAATGATAGTCACTTGCTAGTATATATGAAGTCCTTCAAAATTTAATTATAATAAATTAATTATATTAAAATCTATTTTTATTATAATTATTTTATTGAAACTATTAAATTATTAATTATTATATTTAAATTGAATTTTAAGTACTTTCAGTCTATTGTATGTACGTATCTTTTCAGACATTAATTAGACTTAGTTTAAAAAAAGCTATAAAATATATTTTGCCTATTTCAACCTATTTTTTTTATTCCAACCTATTTTTATGTGAATTGCATTTATTTACGTATCCTAATAGTCCCATAAATAATTCGTGTAAGTTTATAAGGAACCCTAAATGTGCGAGTTAAATACTTGCATGGGTGTGGCTCAGGTGGAAGGAGAGTAGGTGGAGAAGGGGTGATGTATGTTAGCAATAGACTCTGTGACCAGGGTCACGAGTGCCAGGATTCTAGAGTGAGTTAATGAAAGCATCGGAATGCGTCTCATCGAAGTAGAGCATGAGGTATTAGGGAGGGTTTAAAGAGCATTGCTTGCAAGAGGTCGATAAGGAGAGTGCTAGGGGCTGAGACGTTGGGGGAAGGGTTATGCAACCGCGTGAGATACCGTCGGTTTAGTGTCAGGAGATACTCGCCGATGCGAGAAACTTAAGGTTTTTTTGTCAAAAATGATGTCGGGGATATATTTACTGTTTGATTTGCACTTGTGGCTGATACAATCTCGTAGAAGCTTGCACTTGAAAAAATGGATTGTTTTCATCTGGGCAGAGCTGACTGTAGACCAAATGGCTAAAACGTATGAGAGTAGAGAACGAATGAAATATATGTAGCAGAGAAGCTTAACTTTACAGTTAAGTTGGTGGTGCATTCGAATGACATTTTTGAATTGAGTATGCCTAAACCGGGCATTATGGACGACATAGTCGACGTGTGGGATAAAGTTGTGCCAAGTGAATAAAACTACACCGACATATTTGAGTTTGTCAACAAGCTAAATAGGGGAATGGTTGTACTTTACCTCGATGAAGGCGGCATCGAAGTCACTAGAGCCATCTCGTATTTGGCCAAGGAGAACTATGACAGAGATCTTGGCAGGGTTAAGCCTAATTTTCTACCTGGTTAGAAAAAACGGGCAGAAGTCTTGAGCGTGCTTACAAATATATCGTGTTGTAGCTGTTCGCACGTTTCACATAAGCTTCTCCAGTTGATATTCGAGTGAAATTTTACAGCTCAACTTATATTTTACAAAAATATTAAAACACGTTTATTGTAAATGTTGTTCTGTTCAATTTTTTGCTCTACAAATATTGCAATATTTCATATTAAATTAAAATTAAAAATATAAAAAGAAATTAAAAACATAAAAAATATTAAAAATATATAGAGTTTATATTAAAACGAAAAAACTCTATTAAAAGTTTCCCTTGCTATTAGACAGAAATTTTTATATATTTTTTATTGTAATTTGTATTATTTCAGTTGATCTTAGAGTTGCATTAATTATTTTAACGATAATTGAAATTAAAATATATGTACTTCCACTTTGAAATAATTATTTTTTAAAAACTTTTTAATAAAATTTTTAATTGTTTTAAAAGTACATAATTATAATGAAATTCGCAAATATAAAAGTGCTTTAATTTTAATCAAAATAAATTATGGAATGAATGAATTTTAAATTGCACTTGAAAAATCACTTGCGGTAGCTATAACGCTTCGGTCTCATAAATGAAATACCATATCCGGATCAAAATCGAGTGGGCCAGTGCCAACCGAAAATTGCAATTTGCTTTAATTAACTACAGTATGTAGATTGATTTGTGGTTCAGTGCGACAGCTGGTTCAATACCTCTTCTGCATCGAATGCAACATTTTACAGTAGCTTCGACAGATAATTTCAAATTTTCGATTATGCAAATTCATCAAATATAATTTGAAATTTAAAACTGCAGATGCAGTTCAATAAAATTGCATAAATTCGAATGCACCATAAAATTGTTAATCCAAAATGTTGAATGTGCCAGAGCAAAACTCTGGTGCCGAGTGACGCCTTTGAAGACATGAACATCTGCCTGTAAATTAATCTTAATTAAATGATGTTTGTATATTTTGCCTATGTTTTCATTAATGTTGTTTATATTGTTTATGTTGTTTGCTCTGCTTGGCATTAATAACTTGGCAGTTCACAGGAAACTGAAGTGTTTGTAAGCGCTCACACAGCTTTTTCCAATAATTGCCAATGGCTGTTTACGAGGATTCATTGAAATGTATTCCCGCCACAAAACGAAAATGAATACGAAATATTTTGCTACTAGCAAGCATTTCTCCTGTGCACAACATAAATTATTAACAATAATACGGATAGACAAGTACAAATATGACGTCACATGCATACGTGCATAATTAATTATAAAACATTACAATAGCAATTTTAATTACACTTTAAAAACAATTAAGTTCATTAAGTTTTATTAAGAAAAATTTAATTTAAAATTGACAAATCCCTTGAATGTCAAAAGCACTCATCCATAGGTTGTTCAGAGTGTCGACGAAAAAGGTCTTTGCAACAGAAACACTACATTTAAGTGTTTTAAATTCATTAACACAAAATTATTTACTCTAAAGCTTCCCTACAAAAAAGCCACAGAAATAATTGATATCGTAAAATTGCTGTCCAGGACATTATTATTGTAATCAAGGTTTTTGGTACCCAAAAGTAAAACTGATTAATGAAACTACAATAAATTGCAATTCATTACATCTACATATATTCGACAAGAATTAATTTTAAATTAACCTCAATTTGATAGCTAAACATTTACTTATTGATTATTTTTATGAATCTATATTAGAGCTATTGAATCATCTTTCTCACTCCGAACACTCCATTATAATGACCTTACTGACTTTTGTAGACAGGCATACCAATCAACTGATTAATAGTCCTTACCCCGCAATCTCCAATACAATCATCTTACTGATAATATACTCTCTTGTAGACAGGTATGCCAACCAACTTATTAATAGCCCTTCTTACACAACAATGTCCAATACAATCACTTTACTGATAAGACACTCTCTTATAGACAGAAAGATTAAGGTCAGTAATAATTTTTTTTTAATAACTCCTCAAACGAGAAAGAAAAATGATTTACTTATCTACTCTGTTACTGTATATTAACTGCCAGGAGTCGTTTATCTCCTCTTCAAGCGCTTGTTGGATATGAATTATATTGACATTTTGTTTTAAATAACCAAATGATTTCGTAGTTTTATATAAATCCCTTGGAATAGCTAGCGTGTCCCTTAAACCGTGGTAATACAGTGGCATAAACTGGCATAAAAAACCCGTATATTTTTGTGAGTCTGATTGTCTTGCATACCTACAATCCATGGAGCTGGATATCAAGATTTCAGAGAGATTTATTTTGTTATTTAACAAAAAATAATTTTGAAGCTTGCCATGAAATTTGGAACATCTGGTTTTTAGCTTCGAATTTTCATGGCAGCCATATTGCATTTTTCTATATTAAGTAATGAGTTCAATTACTATTGCTTCTCACTGCAAATATTTATGAGAAACCACCCAGATGAATCGGGTTTAATAGAAAAAATAGAAATATTTCACAAATTTCATCATCTTTCTGTATTGTGCAATGTTAGGCAATTCAAAGAAGCAGATTGGGCCATAGCCACAGGCTGTAATGGCATGAAGGTAAGAAACAATTGGTGATCTTCAGAAAACTAGCATCTAACCTGAAAAGTAAGGAATCATTTGTAAAATGAAACCAGACACAAAACACAGTTCGACATGATATGATAGGAAAAACCCTTTGATCCATTATTAATGTGACCAACAAAATCTAAAGAAATTATATAAATTACATCATAAAATTTTATTTCATTTAAAATATTCCATATTAACTCTTTTTAGCTACTAAAATCTGATGCAACATCCGTAACATTAAAAGGTGTCAACCGGGAACTATCTGGTACTTATCAATGTGAAGTTTCGGAAGATGCTCCACTTTTTCACACAGACATACGTTCAGCACATATGCAGGTCATTGAATTACCCAAAGATGAACCCACAATGCAAGTTGAAAAGAAGATATTAACAGTCAATGATAACTTGAAAGCAGTTTGTACTGTTGGAACGTCTTATCCACCAGCTAATATAACTTGGTACATCAATGGTCGAAAGGTGTGTAAACAATATTATCTATATCAGAAGATACTTTTAAATGGTTAAAAAATTAAAACTTTATTTATTGATTTTTATTTGAGAAAAAACGACTTCAATTTTTTATTAATTTCCAATACTCACATACAAAAACTTTTTGAAGAAAGAATAGATCAGAAAGTTTCTGATCTAAATTAAATAATATTAATTGCATTATCTAAATTAATTATCGAAAAAACTAGTTTATATAAATGCATTTTTAGTTTTAATTGAATTCTTTTTGATTTTAAATCATTATATTATGATATGATATTTATGGCATTTTCGATTGATAAATCGGGGTTCAAGCTATATTTACTTCCGATCTGTCAAATCTTGTTGTTCAACTAAATATTTTTATCTAACATCTTTTTAGTCGTGATAGTAAACATTTATATTTTTTACAAATATATATATCAAATCAAATCACAGTTTATCTGTCAAATCATATTTGATAGATAATGTTATAATATCTTTTTGATTACCATGTTAATTTTAGAGTAATCTGACTACTCTGCCAATATATCAAGAGTGTTATAAGTTAAACTCGAGTGTTATACACTTTGTGTCAGATTTAACATTCGAAAATGACATTTGCATTAAAAGTGCATTAGAAAAGCATCTCGATTGAAAAAATTATTCCACATTAACCAATCGAAAACGCCAGTAAATTGTGATCTATTTGAAATTAATTATTTCTTAATTATTTTTATAATAAAAATTTTTAATTATATCAAATCATATTTGAATTTTTCTGTAGATATTTAAAACACCTTATCAACGCATAAGCCAGGATGCTTATGAGGGGTCGGCAACATATTCCGCTCTGGAGATGTACCCGCATAGCCAAATATTACAGGGTTTCTTCCAAGCTGTGCCCAAGTACCAACCGAATCTCCTACTGCTCTGCGAACTTTCCATACTGCATGTCTATCACAAAAATGTACAACAACGAATTACGCTAAGCATAGCACCGCCAACAACAATTTCGCCCAATCTACTTGGACTTGAAGGCTCGAAACGTGCCAATGGTGATCCAGACAATTCAGCGCTGACAGGAAGCGCAACCCATGCTCAACCACACACTCTCCCCACAATGCTGGCTGTACTGTGCTCAGTTGCAGTTTTGCGCGCATTGTTCACAGGAACTACACAAAGTTGCACAGCATGTTGTGGTCGGCGTAGACGCCAGTTGTGACCAACTTGCATGTAAAATAATCAAAGATACAAATTGAAACGATAATTCGAAATCAAACAAAAAACAAAAACAAAAACAAAAACAAAAAACAAAAAAACTAATTTTAATCTTATTTATAGCAAATAAAACAGAATTATTGTATTATTAAAATATTGTTAAAGACAAATAAATAATGCTGAACACATTTAAGTCAATAGTTTAAATTACAAATTCGTGGAAAATGGCATGTTAAAAAGGGATTTTTATTTATGTTGTTTAAGTAAATAATAGTATTAATTATACAAGCTAAAACAGAAAAAAGAAAAAAGAACATATTTTAAGTGCAAATATATAAATAAATTTTATTAAAACTTTAATGTGAATATGTTATAAATGTAATGTAAGCATAAAGGATTACACAGGATTATGTGCATAAAAAATATAAAAAATTGGCGACATGGTTGAAATATTATTTGCTAAAAAATATATAAATTAAATCAAAGCATAAATTTATGCAACCAATAAATCAAAATACAATTAAAATTTATATAAAAAATAAAAACCTAATCAAAATAGTATTATGAAACGTAGTAATACGAGTATAAAAACTACCGAAAATCAAACCAAATTAGTGAATTTGTATATTTTTTGTCTGTATATTGAGTTGAAGTAAAGGACTTTACTCAATAAAAAATGGTAGCGTAATCAGCATAAATTAAATAAAATAATTTATTAATAATTATTGCACTAAAAAAATTTAATTAGTGTTAAGTTAAGTAAGCTACCAAGTTCATTACCAAAAAGAAAAAAAAAACAAAAAAATACATAAATAAATTATAAAATTTGTATATAGACTATGTAAAAATAAAACTCATAATTAAATTCGAGTTAAGTAAGAAAATACTAAGAAAATATGGAAAATAACTTTTATTTGTAAAAACATGAAATACAAGTAAATAAAAAAAAAATATTTTAATATAAGCATATTTTCATATTTTGTAAATTATTTGTTATTCATTTTCGTTGACTTATTTGAACGGAGTGTTGTGTTTAAAATTAAGTTAATTAATATTTAAACAAGCATTTTTACAAAGAACTTTGCTGTTAAACAAACTTAAATTAAAAATGAAAATTAAATAAAATATATACATAATGTGTTAATATGTAATTGTCATTGGAAAAATGCAAATAATTGAATTAATTGACATTTACCATTTACCACACTACCGACATTTCCAATGTGACAAAATATTTACTGAAGAGAATCAAAATTAAATTGACATTCACGATTTTAATTCTGAAATTAAACAGGAATTAAGTTGATTCGAATTTTCAAGTGAAAATGTCAAAAAATAATGTTAAATAAACTGTAAGATTAAAAAAAAAAAATTTAAATTTAAATAATTTCGATGTTACAGACAACAGAAACTAGCAAAATGAAATGTAAAACTAATGTTTAGTGTAAAACTGAATTAATATAACAAATTACAGGAAATAACAGAACACAAACCAAAGAGAAATCTTATTGAAAGAACACTGGATTGCTATAAGAAGTGGACATTCAAGTCAAGATAGACATCTATGGGCTTTGTATGAAAGTTTTTAACAAATTAGTTACACTCTTTGTACTCGTAAAGAAATTATTGCAACTATGTCTACAGCTAACATTAAATATGTTTAATTAACACTAAGTAAAACTAATAAAAAAAATAATAATGAATAAAATAAAACTACTGTCTTTTTATTTAATCTAATAATAAATATAATTTGAGTAGTTAAAGCTAAATCATTTCGCAGTTCTGATTTGGCGGCACAATTTTAGTATCATACCATCATCGACTAGTAATTTCTGAAACGGAAATAGATCGTATTTGTCAGCTTTATAACTGTGACATACCGGTACGGGGCGCTAATTCATGAAACTTTTCTTTATTAAAGTTGTATATTAAACAATACCTTTATCATATGCTATCATGGTTCACAATTTCATAACTTACTACAAAATCAATTATTTTGTAGAAGGTACATGATCTTAGATTAGGTGGAAGTAACGGTCTTGTATCCAAAGCCCACTTAGACTCAAATAATGGTCTGTTGTTGTAGCAGGAAATTAGCGTTTGTAAATGTGTTGACTAGAGGTCAGAAGATATTCGTTGTAGTACCATTTGATTAACGGGTTTGCATAAGCGGCGACTAGAGATCAGAAGGTACCCGTTGTAGAACTACGGGATTAGTGTTTATATGTGCATCAGAAATATATTTCGTATATTTCTTTTCTTATTGATATTTTCAACATACGATATACAGATATTAAAATATTATTTTTAGGTTAAAATAAATTTCAAAGATCGCTGCTAACAAAAAACAAGACATTAAGAAACTATATATAATGCTTCCAGCATGTATCTTTGTTTAGACACTCCATATATATTAAAACAGTCTAGGTAATACGAAGATGATCTGTCTTACACGAACCTTTCAGATTTCAATCAAGCACCTTCTACTCGATATTATCTAGAAGCTCTCTTCATTCTGTTTTTCCTTTCAATTTTCTTTTTCACAAGTGTTCATCACTCGATTTAGATCCATATTGGAGTTATGGTTTGGTAAAAAAACTTGTATATATAACGCAGACAATTGTTCATACAGACTTGCACGTTCATGAGCCATAAAAAGACAGGGGCATGATTATAGTATTAATAGTTCGAATTTTAGAATATTTAGCTATTTAATCAATAATTAACTTTAATATGCTTTAGGGGCTTATGGAATCATTAGTCTGCTTTAGTTTTTAAATGTTACCGGTTACAGTTTATACGTTATGAAGATCACGGACATATTATGTCACATAAAACAAAAACAATTTTCTATTATTGCAGAAAATATTTAATATTTGATAATTGCAAGAAACGGACATCTGAGACGACTTCAATGACAATTTGAAATCATTGTAATGGAATATTTTCTATGAGTATATTTCAAATATCTGGATTATTTACTTGAATCATAGATATTAAACTAGTTTAAAGTTAATATTTATACAGATACTGACGATTTACGGCTTTCCTTACTCAAAAATTCAACTTTTTCAATAAAGCCATGTACACTACTATGATCTTAACGTGATTCATTTCATTAGAACACTCAAGTCCTCAAAGATGGCTTTTTTATATAACACCCTTACAGTCAATGACAATGAATTTGATTCTGAAAGATTAAAGCTTCACTAAAACAATTGCTTTCTAAAAGAAATTTCAGTGTCAATATTAAAAATTGCATATAAAAAGAAATTTTCGAAATAAACATGTATTTTAATATTATGTTTTTATTAAAATATTAAAATATCTCATTTATTAAATTTAGATTTCCGAACAAACAATGTAAACATTATCAGCAGCAACTAAACAACGAGCTCAAAATCTAAGGAACGAAAGTATCTTATGAGTTGCTTCATTTGTAATAAAGCAATTTCAGTGATGAGTTATTTCCTCGCATCAAAAACATTTCAAAACCAAAATGATTTGCCGTTATCATAGCATCCACATTTACCCCAAATTCAAGTCCTTCGCTGTAAAGAATGTGAAACAAAATATTTCGTTTTATAATTTAATTTACATTTTATTAATAAGTCGGTTTGTTTTGATTCACAAGAGTGGCAGTTGTTGCTTCTGACAAAATATCTACGTTAATTTCCTACTTGATACAAAGATCCGGATAACTCACTTATAAACGAGTTTTTTATTAACTTTTCTCAACAAACATAAGATGCAATTTAATTTATAAATAACAGTCGGAAAATATGTAATTCTATAAAGAAACTTAAACAACATTTGTTGTGTCGTCCTTGTGGTAGATCTTAACATCGTGGAATTTGAAGTTGTCAACATTGAAGTAGTAATCATGTTTGACTGGACGGTTGAATGGGAAACCGAATGGCAGGGCATCTACGAATCTAGCACCAGAACCAACACCACAGCTGACAACATGATTGTAGCCAGTGTGTTGCTTGACAGCTGGTTCATGGAATGGATAAACCATGAAGAAGAATTGGTATGGCATACCGCCCTTCTTGCCCTTTGGTATCATAAGTCTCTGTGGAACACCGCAGTGAGCTTCAACTTGGTTCAATGGGAATTTGTATTCACCGTGGGTGGCATCCATCACCTTTTGGTAGAGTTCCAAGTATGTAGTTCTATCGTTAACGAACCAGCTGAACTCAATAGAGTTGCGCTTGACAACATTGCTGCCGGCAACCAAATCAACAACGAAGTGATCCAATTCCACAAAGTTCATATAGTTATCTTCCAAATGAATGTATTTACCATTTTCATCGTATTTTGGACCAATGAATATCTTCACAACGGCGTGTTGCTCTTTGTCGGAGGTAACATCCAATTGGAATTCGAAAGGTTTGTGATTCAAACGGAATTGGCGAGCTTTAATTACAAAGCCATGTCCGTCATAGTGGGAATTACGTCCGAAATTGTAGAGTACATCATGAGTGGTGTCTTGTGGTACTTCAACATTAACCGCATTACTGATGTCAGAATCAAAGTATTCAAAGAAGGTGGTTAAGCTCTCTGGTACATGTACGTTGTCAATCTTGACACCTTCGAAAGCAAAGTCTTTGTATGTATATTCAGGGAAGTGTTCCACTAAATGCCAGTAGAAATGGGTGATTTCTTTGTAAACCTCCCAGAAAAGTGGATCGCGCACTGAAGTCTCGTAGTGCATGAATGTGCTTGGCAAAGTTTCGTAATATTTGCCATATGGACGACCTTCGTTTACAATATGGCGATACAAATTATCGATGCTACCATAGAATACTGTATCAATGCTGTCTTCATTACCTTGAATAATGTTGCCCAAAGTATTCACAACATCGATGTCGTACTTTTTATTTTTGTCAATGAATTCCATAATGCGATGAATATAAACTTCAGTTTCTCTGATATATTCTAGATTTTCCGGGCTGTAGAAGTTGTAATGATTGTCACGATCAGGGAAGCTCACACCACGGTAGTAGTGTAAACCACTGAAATATCCAGAGTCAACATGTTCATACATATTGAATTGTGGTATTTCACCCAAGTCATGAGATAAACGTTCCAAGTAGTAGCGTGCCAAGAGTTGCATGTGTATGTACAAATAAAACTCACCACGGCGATCCTTGTTTAATTCACGGCCTTCAGGTCCTTTGGTCCAGAATGGATAGTCGAGGTTGGAATAATAGTAGAAAGCATTTAAGCCAACATCTTCCAGGAAATAGGCCATATTGTGATCGTAGTTCACATCGCCGTAGTGATTTGAGTAGTTTGATTTGATCACTACATGGTACATATTGTCCAATTTCTTAACGTTATGGAAACCATGCATTCTATATTTTTCGGCCCATTCCAATGTATCAGCATCGAAGAAGTGCCATGGATGAATTTCATAAACAGCTGGGAAAACAATACCCTCCATGTCAGGACGGAAAAGACTGGCTGTTGTGAAAGCATAAATGAACAATTGTTTGTTGACATGAGTACGAGCCCAAAATACGGCATGAGTGAAAGTTTCCCAATCCTTGGCAAAGAAGAACAAGCGGCTCAAACCAAGTGCATATTCTTCATGACGATCATAGAATACAGTAAAGATTTCATCATCATACATTGGCTTGTGTTGCCATAACTCAAAGAATCCCTTCAATAAGTCGACATGGTTGTAGTGGTCTACATGCTCCCAAGGTTTGTAGCTGTACCAGCTGTCATCGTACTTAGCGACGAACACATCATCTTGGTAGATGTGTTGGAGCATTTCCAGCACAAACTTTTGTTGGACTAGAAAGTCCTTGTCAGCATATTTGGACTCGATATGCTTGGATGACACGAAGGCAATAAGCGCCAGCGCAACTACCGCAACTGCTGTGAAAGACTTCATCTTGTGAAATCATGCCATCAACTAATGTGCAGTCGTTATTTATACAAAATATGCAAACCGTACAAAATAGAAAATGCTATCGGTAAAGCAGCATCAAACCACTGCAGTCATAAATGTATATGAGGGCTTTGCCTTGACCCCTGAGCTAATAAAAAAATACAATTAAAATGCAATATTATGGCACAGCAGCTGCAATCTGTGAAGATCACCTTGAATGCGAAAGTAAGGTGGACTTATCAGCACACGGAGAATGTGAGGAAAAAAGTGATAATATAATACGAGTATATGAGAGGTGTAAAAGTTGTTGCTATATTTTCTAGGATTTTATTTCGATTAACTTCAAACTGCTGTAGATGTTTTCATTAAACTAAGTAAAGTTTGGGTATAGAACTATAAGTATGTCGGAAATACTTTTAGTTATGTTTAGTAAAATATAGAAAATATTGCATATAAGCTAAAATAAATGCATGTTTTTAATTTTTTAAATTAATTTGTGTGTCTTATCAATGATTTTATGCAATACAATTGCACCGATCGACAACATAGGGTCAAACTGTCTTTTGTACTATGCGTCATTTATATTTAAAAAGCAAACTCATAAAGTCTATTTTCGTTTCTGTTGATAAAAGCTAGGTTCAGAAACATGTGCCAAAATATTTTAAAAATAAAAAAAGCCAATGTACAAACATAATTTTTTGAAAATAACTTCAAAAATTAATTAATTCTTAGGAAATAGCAGAAGGCGTTAGATGTATTGTATAGTGTAAAGAAGAAGGAAGTATGTACATTGTACATACTTGAAATAATTTTCCTTCCACGTGTGGTTTGTGGAAAATTATAGTGTCCCACACAAAATAACACCGGCGTACATTGCACATGATGCCTCACCCATTTCTCATAGATTAAAACACAAATAAAATGCACTGGCAGCTGCATGTAAACATTTTGCTACCAAATATGCAATAATCGTGCAATGCAGCGCACTTCCACACTTCCTTTCGAGCTGAAATTGTGAGGAACTTGACACTCAAGGGGTTTGGTTATACTTTATTTAAGTTGCAGATTGCGCAAACCTTTTAGGAAATTCCGGCCAAATTAGTTGCAACAACCAAAACGGCAAGTAATTGCTGCAATTCCAAACACAAGTGCACTTAATAAAATGTCACATAATATTGTGTGCATTTAATATACTTCAAGGCAAGACATTGTAACACTGCGCACCTCTGCAACAACACTAAAGGTCTGCCGTCGCTATATTCAAAGGACATTGTTGCGAAATGTTGAAAGTGTAAAGCTGCTGCTCCTGCCACATTCCAGACTTCGGTTATGGCACATCTCTAATTGTTTCGGTTATACGCCATTGGCTGTTAATACCAACCCATGCTCTCTGGCTACGTTAAAGTTTTACGTGCTGGTTCAGCTGCTTACATAAACGGGACATAATTTCCCACTACTTCTTACCTTTGCCTGTTAATACAGCAAACTTTGTACTTAATGTGTCTGCCAGGAGCATGTTCGCATGTTCGATGACTTAAGCCAGCCCAAGCATACGAAGACTTAAGAAAAAGTTATCGCCCCTGTAAATTCCTTAAGCGTTGTTCAAAATTAAAACATGTATGTTTTGATTTATATCTCAGTGAAAAGTTTAAACTTTGCCTTTGCTTGTGTGTAAAGTTATAGTTGATGGTTTTTTTATATTCCAAGCTTAAATAACAAAATAAAACTCAAATTGCAGAGTACAGGGAAATTACATAGGAAGAAAATAAAATTTATTATTAATAACAAAAAACTGCAAATTGTGGTAATGAAAATTAATGCAAATTTTTACAAAGTTATATTAAAATATGTTAAAAAAAATTTACGTTTCATAAAGTGCACAAAAGTTCTGGATCTGACTAAATACTGGTATTATAAAATATAGAAAGCATTGAAAAAAATTGTATCGGCGAACTTTTTAAAAAATGTTCTGTTACAGGACTACTTTCCATAAGTAAAAAATTTTAATTATAATTTTAATAAATTATAAACAAGGTTTGACAGTCCCTATCTTAATTGACTATATTTGTTCTATACCAAGCCTCGATCAAGGATTCTGTTTGCTTATACGCGGTAGATAGAGTTGTTTTTGTCAACGTGGTAGGCGGTTCGAAAATTTAATAAAAAATTGGATGTGTCATATTTTCTTATAATTTGGATCTGAACATCTCGCTGCGACTACCGAATCACAGCAGTGTCTTTCAGTTAGATGTAAGAGTGACTCACTGTGCAGCAAAATGGGTTCTGTGCAACAAAATTTCCTACATAAATATCGTTATTTTTTCAGACAAACAAGTTTTCACAACATCAAGTCGTGAAATAATGAGTAATTAGTTTTGACGTGATTGTAGCTCTACAGAGGAGAAGAAATCCATGTTTCACTTTATGGTTCAATGCCCATCTTTGGTCAGCGGGAGCTTAAAAATCTTTAAGCCATATTTTCTTAACGACCTGACAGTACTAACATTCTTTGATATTAGACACTTAGTCAAGTTTATGGTCTTAGTAGGTTGGTTCATTTTTACTGGAATAGCTTAGTTGTGCCTTTCAGCATTGTACGAAACTACTGCGATCCATTTGGAGTACACCATGTTCAGCGTATGTATAACACTAAACGGTATCGCAATGGGCAACTATTTGAGCTCAAGTGGGTTTTTGTGTACAATGCTACCACGCCAACCTAATCCAACCTAATCCAGCTAATCAAACTTGCGAGATAATATCATGAGTGGTAAAAAAAAGAAATATTAATTAATGAATTTCCAACGCTCGCAATACAAACAGTGATACTCGCAGCTTCCAATATGTATGGATTCTGAGACTATGGTAAACACAGGTTTATTCGTAGAAACTTACAGGACTCTAGCATATAGAATATATTATTATTGCGTATATACGTGCCAGAATTTGTGTATCATTCCTGTCCATAGTCCAAGTTATACTAAAGTCATGTCATATATTTCTTATTTAATTGTATTCTTTAACTTAATACATGTATATATGTATTTGAATTGCTAAAGAAAGAAGGAACTAGCTAAAAACAACTCTTTTAATGCATAACAACCCTACGACTTAATAGTTCGTTTAAAAATTAATAAATAACTTTATTGACATTCTATGAAAATTAAAAATCCTTTTCTAAATTTATTCTCTACTTTGAAATAATTTAAATTTGAAATTTCAATCCAGACGAATGACGTTTGCTGGGTTATCACGCTTTACAGCGAAATCGGTCAATATTTAAGGCACTTATGAAAAATAAAGTAAAAAACTTTGCAGTAGCCCAGTAATGTCTTCAAATGGAAGTAAATATATGACATTTCGAACGAAATTTCGTGTGCAGAATCTTTGCGAATGCTACAAAAGGCTTATGGGGAATCAGTTTTATCGAAAACTCAAGTTTATGAGTGGTACAAAGCCTTTCAGGACGTCGTACGACCGTCGAAGACATGCCGCGTTCTGGACGACCTTCGACCTCTACCCCGACGAAAACATTGAAAAGGCAAAGGAAATCGTGTTCAAAATCCTCATGTGAGTGTTAGAGAGATAGCACGAGAGCTAGGCATCGGTCGTGAGATGGCTCGTTTGATTTTGGTGGAAATTTGTGTATGCGACGTGTCAACGCCGGCTTGTTCCGAAATAAAATGGAAGATTTTCTTCTTGCTTTGTTTCACCACCAGACCTCATGTGATAGTCCTAGAAGAAAAATATATATAAACAGTAATTATTGTGTCTTGCTGAAAATTTCTATAGATTCAATTTTCCAATACCTGCAACCTTAACGAAAGCTTCGCTACAAACTTATTTGGATAAAATTCCAATAGATAAATTATTTTTATTCTTCCAAGAATGAAACCAGACCAGACCACTCAAGGTTAAAAATAACAAGTACTAAGCCAATCAATATTGTTTTTTACTTTATAAATATAACATATGGTGACGTTTGACAAAATATATTATATATTCTAGAAAAATAAATTAATTGAATTATATATTGTAATTATAAACAACAATTAATCACAATTTAATTCATGCGATTTAGTTGCTAGGGAAAAATTTACATCGCCTTATCGATTAACGCAAGCTGTTATCGGACTAAAAAATTAAATTAAGTGAGATAGTTCGAAAAAAACATCTGGCATTAAATTAGTAAAAAATATTAATAAATTAATAAATACAATGTGGAAATTTTCTGTTTTCGCTGAGTTTTTGTTATTCAGAAAGTTCAAATAATTTTAATTATTAATTTTACTTTCATAAAATTATTCATTCGCAAATAAAAACTGTCTACTCGGAACTGATAATACAGACTTTGTGGTATGAGATAGTTTATAATAAAAATAAAATAAATATTTTAATACTATAAAGTCTAAGACATATGCTGTGTTTGAATAGAATTCTTTATAGCGATAACAACTTTATAATCACATATAGTATTTTTTATTTCAAACTAAGGCAAATTATAGAAACATATATTGCACATAATGAGCATAAATGCCTCATTTATAATTTAATTAATATTTTAAAGAATAAACATGAATCACATCACACGGTTGAGATTTGATTAACTAAAAAACAAACATTAAGATACTATTAGTAAAAATTATTACCTAAAATTAATGTATTATTATGTTATAGCTAAGTGAGTCAGTGCACTTGAGCACTTTTACTTTCTATTAACTGCGAGGTTTCTTCAAAACCCCTCCCTGCGTCTTTACTGGATTATTGTTTGTCACTTCATCAGACTAAGCAATAATTGACCTCAAATCTGCATACCTCCCCGAGGAGCCTGTAATCATTCTGAGATTCGGTAACGCGGTAAGTCTATCAGTTTTCGCAAATAATTTCAGGGCTCTATCCTTTATGTATTTTTTAATCGGATCAATTTTGAGGTCCCTGAGGATGTCATTTGTCCTACTGTACCATGGTAGTTTATTTTAAATAAATTTAAATTAACATATTATTTGTTGTTCTTTCTATAGTTACTAA